AAACAAAAAGGACCTTAATGTGAAGTGGTTGGAGTGGGAAATGACTGCAAAAACAGAATATCCCAAGTTATGGAGGATATAGCAACTTGTTGATGGTTTGACTTAGAAAGTGATGCAACTAAGAAAGAAGAGAAAACAATTATATTTTAGGTATCTGGAAGGATGGTGACTTCATGCAAGGAAATAAGATGTCCAGAAGAAAATAATAATTGTTATTGTTATTATTATTTTTAATTGATATTTTTGTTTTATTTTGTTTTTTTAATTTAATTTGGTTTGGAAAAGTAAAAACAAAAGCTAGAACAAAAATCAGACATAAAGAAAGAAACAGGGAGACATACAACAGTACGTGTTTTAGATTTTCAAACCAAGAATAGCTGATTAATAATAGTTGATACAATATCTATTTTTATTATCAAATCTGTTGCTCAGATTAACAGATATAGTTATTTAAGATTGGACATATGGTTGCAAATTACCACTTTTAAGAAACCTTAAATTTTTGTTCTTATCTTTTTTTAACCTTTTTTAAACAATTTTTAAATGTATTCTAGGGAAATAACAGGGAAGAGAATGCTTATAGTTATAAGCTTGTTTAATGTGAGAATCAATATCAAAGATTTTACATAAATTTAGTCCTCAAAAAACCCTTATAAATTATATAGCATTATCACCATTGCCTTTGACAAAAATATTAGCAGCTGAATGACTTACTTGGGATTACACAGCCCAGATGTGCTAGGAACTTGACTCAAGCCAAGATATGTCTATTATCAGTTTTCATTGACATATAGTAAGTGTACATTTTGATGAAGTCCAACATGTATTTTAATATCTTTATGCAAGGCATAATGGCCACATCAGAGTCATTGGCATCCTCATCAACTCAAACACTTATCCCTTGAATTAGACATGTTCAAAATTCTCTCTCTCTCTTTTGAAATACATGACAAAATATTGTCAACTGTAGTAACTTCGTTGTGCTTCATTTTGCTTTGTTTTGTTTTGTTTTGTTTTGTTTTGTTTGGGTATTGGATTTTTGAGTCAAGGCTTCACTATGTAGTTCTGGTTGACCTCAAACTCACTATGTAGCCCAGGCTAGACTCGAACTCAAATGATCCTTTCAAGTGTTATGACTATAGGTGTGTACCACCACAATAGATGTCACGCTACTGTGCTCCACATTGCCCTTCTCAGTCTCTGTTAACCCCTGTTCTACTCTCTATGCTATGCAATAAACTGGCTTTTGTATATGATTAAGAATTAGTGGTATTTGTCTTTCTGTGCTTAACATATCTTTTAACATACTGTCTTCCAGATCCATCGACATTGACACAAATGAAAAGCTTTCTTTCTTCTTAAGGCTGAGCACTATCTTATTATGTATATCTTCCATAATTTCTTTACTCATTTGTAGAACCATTCAGCTGTAGATCATGTGTTTCATCCACAGCGTTTTTCTTAAAGCTGGATGTGATGCCGCCTAGAGTTGGCTGAGATTGTGCTATGATACTGACCCCTGAATTAGTCTCTTTCTATGTTATGCCCCATTTCATCATCAAAAAATCCCAGAAGTAGTTGTTAATTATCCTAACTATGAAAATAAGGAAAATGAATCTTAGAGAGTTTAATAGCAAGTAATAGAGCTTGGATTTAAACTCTGCCTTACCTGATATCTCTCCTCCTGCAAGTACCACAGGCCAGCCAATTTCACTACTGGAACTATCTGGATCTAGTTATGTGTACTTTGTATCATGGCTCGATATGCAAGTAGAAATAGAGATGTAGGTGAGAACCTGGAATTAAACATTTGAGAATAAGCTTTAAAAGCAAACACTAGAAAAAAGTTTTGAGATGAAGTTCTTATGTTGAAGATAATGGCATTCATTTATTCATTCTGAATCCTAAAATTCTATGCTAAGCTATTCCAGTGTTTGTGGTCTTGAGGGAACATTTGATAGCTTTTATTAGATTTTCTTAAGAGCCATGGCATTAAAAGACATATATGACAAGACAACAAAAGCCATAAGATTGGATGGGATCAAAGATTAAAACGGGTGAGATTTTCCAGAAGGAAACAGAGAGAGATGCTGGAAACTATCTATTGAGGACAGTTTCTATAAGGATACACAAGAACTAGTGCCAACAATATTCAGTTTATAAAGCCCCCATGGAGTCAATCTATGCTGCTAAATGTCACCCAGCCCAGGTCTGGAAACCAACATAAAACCCGAAGTTTGATTCCTCATGCACATCTCTCTCAATTCCCTGAATCCAGTCTGTACTAATTCTCCCATCAAATCCTGAAATACCTGTTATCCACATTTACTGTCTTCATTTCATTCATCGGGCACATTTCACATTTATCTTTATGGATTTTTCTATAAATAATTCAGAAGTCCATATAATATGTCAGTCCCTGTGATTAAATAAAGGTATAATAAACCAAGAAAGAAAGATACAGTGCCTGTTCTTAATAGTGTTTCAACTTCAGTGGGAAGAGATTTAAAATAGCATGACCTTCTGTATATAGATAGATGTTATAAATCTAATAAGATTATTCTCAGCATGAGAATTTGACCTCTTCAATCTTTTTACACATGTTTCCACCTATGTAAACTGGAATAGCAAGTTTACTTTGTAGGGTACTTTGAGGTTTAAGTTTTCAAATAGTAAGAACAGTGCTGGGAACAGGGTAAAGATGAGGGTGTTCATTGTTTTGCTTTGAGGGTGAGATGTACTTAAGATAGATGGTCAGGGGACTCGGTGTGTGTGTGTGTGTGTGTGTGTGTGTGTGTGTGTGACTGGAGATTAAGTCTAGGGCTTCAAATATACTAGACTGGTGCTATACCACTGATCTGCATTCATAGCCATTTTTACTTTTTTATTTTGTAACAAGGTTTTAATAAATTTCACAATCTGGCCTCAAACTTATGGTCCTCTTGCCTCAGCCTCTAAAGTTCAGTAAATGGGGCTACAGGTATGTATCACCATGGTTGGTGTGAAAATGTAGAATTTTTAGCTGAAACATCAATGATAAGAAGGAGCTAGTAATCAAATATATAGACAGAGCTGGACCTAGTGGTGCACATCTGTAATTCCAGCACTCTGGGAGGCTAAGTTGAGAGAGTTGTAAATTTGAGCCCCTCCTTGGCAACTTGCAACCGTCCTGTCTTGAATTAAAAAGTACAAACATGTCAGGGTAAATAGCCCACTGTCAAGATCCTTTGTTCACAGTGCCACAAGGAGAGAGAGAGAGAGAGAGAGAGAGAGAGAGAGAGAGAGAGAGAGAGAGAGCTTAAAATTGTAAGAAGCAGCTACAAAGGGCAAAGGGTCTTAGCTATGTGTATCAGTAGACACATAAACACTTGTGGTGAGAACAGGGTGAGTAATCACAGAGAAGATAGAAGATAGGGTGGGGCATGGATCAATTTTTAGGAGAATTTGGGATGTTATATTGAATTTTATTCCACAGGCCTTGGGGAGATATTAGAGAACTTGGAGAAAGGGAATGAGACACTGTGATTTAACAATTTTATAGTCACTTTGGAACTGGGCTGAGAGTTAATGGACCAGTGTTGATTTGTGTAACCGGAAGAATATGGGTTGGGAAGGGGACCTATATGCTGTAGGCTTGCTCTAAAAAATAAGTTTCTACAACATATTTAACCATATTCTGATGGTGGAAACTTTGGTTTTAGTCATTTTTCATCACTATGAATAAAGCTACAATGACTATTTTATGCATATTCTTAACTTTTAGAGCAGATCTATGAGAAAGTCTGCAATATAATCCCTAGGACATGATTTTTGTTTTGCTTCCTTGTATAGACATTCCTCCGAATTTATGGACTTGCTTTCAGGACCGCCTAAAGATACGAAGTTGTCCTATGCTGAACTTTCTTCTATAAATTCAGGTAGTAATTGCGCAGAACCTACACGCATCCTCTCATAAACTTGAAATTATTTCCAGTTGACTAATGCCACCTAATGCTAGGCAAAGTTTTACATTATGTTTTTTAAGAGATAATGTCATAAAAAGTCTGTACATGTTTAGGACAGAAGAAACTTCTGAATATTCTTATATTTATTAAGGTGTGAATTTTACATCTGAATGAGGATCAGTGGCTATTTCAGCAATACATGTGGTAAACACTAATCAACTCTACTCCCTCTCTCTCTTCACACTCACCCTGCCTTCCTTACTCATAAAAATCTCTATTTTATACTCTGATTAATAATGTTAGCTTCCACAAATGAAATGGAACACATATCTGGATTATTTCAGCTTCATTTAAAAACTATTTTCCATCTGTGTTTCATGGAATCTGTATATACAGAATCCATGGTTATAGAGGCTGATTTTATCTCTGTCCTTGACTTGAAGTGCTCTCATCAAAAATCTCTATTTTCCCACATCTTACTACAAATTTAGAAGTTATACCTTTTTTGTCCATTATTTCAATGACTGCTGCTAAACTTCACTATACATACTCTATGTAGAAAGTCCAACATATTCAGAATTTCTATCCTTCTACAGTACTGCAGCCTTAAACTTTAATTCTACATCTCATTTGTATCAAAACTTGTTGTCTAATATTTTACTATTTCTTTATATGCATTCTCATTTACATTATTTATATTTAAATTGACTTATTTGTATTTTTTCTACCTATATACTAACTTTTTGGCTGACCATTACTTCTTGGATATCAAGTCTTTCTGGATTTAATTTGTGCTGAATAAGGTCCTAAGTTTTTTGTTTAGTGAGAACACACACAAAATCCACTCCCTCTATCTTTGTATAACATTGGAATACTTAGTTGGAGGCCTAAAACTAAGCCTTGAAAGATGAACTAATGTAAACACTCTGTTCCTGGCTCAAGGTATTGTAATTACCTCATATGAAAAGTAGAAAGGGATCTCAACCACCTTCCCCAAATTATCCCCATAACATTCATGCGATTTCACATTTCAATACTTCCAGGACAATCATCCACATGGAAGCACAGAACAAAACCAGCGCATCTGAATTCATCCTCCTGGGACTGGCTGAAATGCCAGAACAAGAAACTCTGCTCTTTTCTCTGTTCCTCTGCATGTATGTGGTCACAGCTGTAGGGAACCTGTTGATCATTGTGGCCATCAGCTCAGACTCCCGCCTGCACACTCCTATGTACTTCTTCCTGGCCAATCTCTCCTTGGTTGATCTCTGCCTGGCTACCAATACTGTTCCTAAGATGCTGGTGAGCATCCAAACAAAAAACAAGTCTATCTCCTACTCTTGTTGCCTGACCCAGATGTACTTTTTCCATTTCTTTGGAATCATGGACAGTGTCTTAATAGCTGTGATGGCTTATGACCGTTTTGTAGCCATTTGTCATCCCTTACACTATACCACCATCATGAGCCCATGGCTCTGTGGACTGCTGGCTGGCATCCCATGGGTGCTTTCCTGTTTCATCTCCCTCACCCATATCCTGCTGATGGCCCACCTGGTTTTCTGCAGCAACAATGAACTTCCCCACTACTTCTGTGATCTCACTCCCCTTCTCCGGCTTTCTTGCACAGACACAACTGTGAACAAGATCTTTGTGCTCATTGTGGCAGGAATGGTGATAGCATCACCCTTCATCTGTATTCTGGCCTCCTATGCTCAAATCATCATGGCCATCATGAAAGTCCCTTCTGTGGGTGGTAGGAAGAAAGCCTTCTCCACCTGCAGTTCCCACCTTTCTGTAGTAGCTCTCTTCTATGGAACCACCATTGGAGTGTATCTCTGTCCCTCCTCGGTCCGCACAGCTGTGAAGGAAAAAGCTTCTGCTGTGATGTACACGGCAGTTACTCCAATGTTAAACCCTTTTATCTACAGCCTCAGGAACAGAGACCTGAAGGAGGCCCTGAGGAAGCTCATTGCCAGAAAGGTCACACCATCTTCTTGACTACCAGCACAAAGGCATGCTCTGTAAAGTAGAATCTAAACATCTGGAGGCTTGAGCCAATGTCTGGACTTGGCAGAGCTGCCACATGGAAGAAGGATTTGTTACTATTTCCTCATATTAGGTAAGGAACTTTATGTATGTGTCACAAGCTGCCTTCTCAAAGAGTAATTCTAGCTCGTCCACATCAGGTTTGCTTTGGCTTAGAATTTTTGTATCACTCAAGAGGGACAAATGGCCATTGCATAGCGCTGGGAACATTTCTGCAAAATGCATCATACCATTGCAGGAATGCCACAGATTTCACTTATACAAACCTAAATGACACCAATCTCTCACTAGATGTGGCTTCTTGAAATTAAAAGATGCAGTGCTCACTTTGGCAGCACATACACTAAAGTTGGAATGATAAAAATAAACAAATAAATAAAATAAAGTTGGAATGATACAGAGAAGAATTCCTTGGCCCCTGTGTTAGAATGAGAAGCAAATTCATGAATCGTTCTACACTTTTTAGTATGAGTCAACAGGTTATCTCTAACCTTTCTTTTTTATTTTTTCTCATCTTCTTACTCTCTTTTTTAAACTGTGTCACTTGATGTTATGACACTTTGATGGGAATAAACACTCTCTCTTATTTCTGGTTCATTACAAAATTCCTAGACTTTCACTCCCAATCCTTTTATCCCATGTCCTACAGTGACCCAAAACATGGATGACCATCCTGTGCCCTCTAGTCTTGTTTCTGCTCTATTTAACTTCATTCTTCTTTCCATCCTACCCCATACCCCTCCTGAAACCACTTACAACAGGGTAAAAATACTCTAGTAAGTGGAAAATCATTGCATACAAGTTCCTCGTATAAGTTGAATTATACTATATTTCTGCAGACCTTCCTCCAAATGTTAGAGATGTGAGGCTAATATTTACCAGTTTGTAAGTAAAAAGACTGTACTTAAGTCTATTGTTATTGCCACATGAACTACTTCAACAGGATATTATACATGCTATAACCGGTTTTTCAACCCTGTATAACAACACTGTGATTATAAGTGGACATAATCATACCATAGTACCAAAGGAATGGGCCCCAAGTCAAATTGATAGCATCAGTCTTAATCTATTAGGAAGGTGGATTCCTAGGATAGACATAATGATGAAGAACCATTCACATCTAGAAGACAGCCAAAGGAACAGACACCTCCTAAGAAAACCTCAACACCAGTGATAAGGTCATCTAACATAAGAATTCCACAACTATCAACCCAGAAAACAAAATAAAATGGAAAATAAAAAGGGGCAAGATGAAGAAATAAAATGCAATCCAAAATGTCCAGCCCACCCAGTACATGTCCATAGCTCAAAGAGATAGATGAAGTCAGAAGACAAGTTGAAATCTCTGAGACATTACCAGCATAAGTAAAAACATAAATGGAAGAGGTGATAGAAAAAAATAATATATAAGATGCAAAAAGGAACGACTATTAAAATAAAAGACATTACACAGACACAGATAAACAAGTACAGGAACTCAGGAAAACAATGGAAAGCAAGAATTGCCAAACATAGATAATAAATAGAAGCAAAGAAATGGACCAAACAGAAATGCCGGAGATTATAAAGTCTGGTGAAAGTATATGAAGCAGACTGAATGAAGATCAGAACAGAGTATCACATCTAGTAAGCAAGAATGCAGCTAGCTACCAGGAAAAGAAAGTTATTTTAAAAAATGGAAGACACTATAAAAAGTTAATCTAACAGCTATATGATAAAGCAAAGAAGAAGAGCATAAAATTGATTGAAATTGGTAAGGAGAGTGGAGCCTGTGCATAAGCCATTAAACACCTTTTTACAGGAAAAAAAAAAGGCAGGAAACTTTTTGACATACAAATAAGTAAAGCATATTGACCTCCAACTATACTTGAAATATATAAATTGACAACTAGGGCTATAATAATAAAGGTTCCTGAAATTCAGCATAAGAACAGAATATTAAAAGTGATTGGAGGGAAGAAATAAATCACCTATAAAGTAAAGCCCATCAGAATCACAGCAGAATTCTGAACACAAATCCTCAAAAAAAGATTCTGGAGTTAGGTATTTCGAGCCCTAAAAAACAATCTCCAACACAGATTGATGTACCTGAAAAACTATTTTTCAAAAAATTGATGGAGAAATAAGATACTCCTGTGACGAAGAGCAACTGAAGAAACTTATGACCATGTAATCCACTGCACAGAATGCTTTAAAGGATATATTAGAAAAAGATAACAAAAGGACTACAAATACAGAAACATTGATAGAAAGAAGTTGCCAGGTAAGGCAAGGAATTAAACAGAGGAGAAATACGGAGGAAAAAACAACAGGAAAACAATGTGGAAAAGTGAAGCCAACACGTATCAGTCACAACCTTCAATATAAATGATCCCAACTAGCCAATCAATAGAAACAGACTGGCAGAATGCATCAAGAAGCCTGATCTACTACAAACTGCAGTACACGTTTTCAGGATAAATCCTGAGGGGATTTGACTGACCTTGGCACATACAGAAGTTACATTTCTTGTTATATAGGTCTTGCTTTAGCTTGGTCTTAACCATCCAACAGAAAAGTATAAAAATGAAGTATAAAAAGTAAAGCCATATTAATATGCTGAGCTGTAAAAGGCTCAAGTCAACAACTTCTGACATTGCCAGTCTACGGATAATCCACTACTATTACAGACTACTGGACTATATTGGATTATTTTGCTGAATTAACACACTTACAACATTTAAAAGACAATGGAATACCCATCTCTGACAAAACTAAACAAAAAAAGGGGATACAAATGAAAGATTATTTTGTATCTGTATATTCAAAATACTTAGGATAGATATACAGCTAATTTCTCTTAATTCAATGAATAGAAAGATTTGTACTAATAGTGTTTGTGGACAGGATATCATGTCTACATCTTGTACTAAGAATAGCCACTAAGAAAACAACAATATTCAATATATTAATTATTGAAACTTTCCTACTAATTGGTTTTGAAAGTGTCTCATTGCTATTTGTTCCTCAATAAAATTATTTTTAAAAAGAAACCTGATTCATCAATGTGCTGCATTGAGAAACACATTTACTGTAAAAAGAAATTAATACAAAAATTCAAAGTATGAAAAGTTTTTCTACATGCCACAGGAACCTAGAAAAAAATAATGGGTATCTACTCCACTTGCACACAATGTAAAATTTAAGGCAAAACTGACCAAAACAGATAGATAAGGTCATGATATAATTTTTAAGGGAAGAATCCAGGAAGCAGACTGAATGAAATAACAACGATGAATCATGAATATTTATGCACCAAGCAAAGGTTCATCCAGTTACATAAAACAAATATTATCACACACAAAAAACAATCTCTAATAAATTGCATTGTTTAATCTTTATACCTCACTCTCACAAATGGTAGACCAACTAGACCCAAAAAAAAATCAATGAAAAAATATTAAAAGTGAACCAAATCTGTGAACAAATGTACTTCGTAGATATCTGCAGTGTTCTACCCAAAAGCATCAGAACTCTTCTCATCATGAGGGACATTCTCTAAAATAAACCATATATTAGCTGACAAAACTTGTTTAAACAGACCCAGTCCTAGCCCAGGTCCGGTGAGTGTGTGGAGAGTTTCTGCTACCTTGCACCGGCGGGACCAGTCCCAGCCCAGGCCCAGCGTGGGCCGGACCCTCTCCCACCCCCTTGGGCTGCTCCCCACCCTCCGCAGTACCTCCCCCACCCTGCCCGCCCAGTAGGAATTTCTGCCGAGTTCTGGGAACCCCCAGATGCAGTCCTAGCCCAGGTGCAGTGAGTGTGTGGGAGAGCTTCCTCTTCCCCCTACTTCACCTTGCCCCCTCCAGGCACAGCTCAGGCCTGGAATACACGCGTGGGGTGTAATCCTGCAGCTGCAATCCCTGCAGAGAGTGTAGAGGATAGATCCAACGAGCTAGTCCAGGAGCAGAACATCTAGCCACAGGGGCACAATAGGTTCACCCTCAAAGGCAGCAGTGGAAAGGAGCTGAGCACAGCAGTCAGACCCAAGCCAGGCACAGCTGGATAAGTCCAAACTTTGTAGAGCTGCACCAGAACTTCAGTACGTGTGAAGGTTATAACTACAGCAAAGATCTACAACAAAAGGTCAGAAGACAGTGCTACACAAAATGA